CGTGTGTGAATAAGGGCACGCATGTGTGGTGTGTACACAGAGGTCAGAGGACAACCCCGAGTGTCACACGTCACCTTCTGCTCTAGATGAGCCAGCCATGAGCTTCCAGGCTCTGTCTCTGTCCCCATGTCCCCATGGCAGGACTCCTGGGATGCTCACACTGTCTGGCTTTTACACCGGTTCCCAGGACTCAGATCCAGGCTCTCACCACTGAAGTGCATGTGCTTTCTGCCCACTTAGCCATCTCCTCAGCACCAAGATGTAGTCACCGAGAGGGCCAAGCAGACATTGCTATACTGCAATGGGTTAATAAAATAACTCAAACTGAATTATTATACTAAAGCTTAATCTTTAATTAATAGAAAGAACAGAAACATGAAAACCGAAATGATCTCAGCACAACCTTGCTAATGAACAGTACCTAGATATCCTTCCCACGGACGGCAGTGAGTCAGACGAGCAGAGCTTGTGTGCTATCGCAGGGGTCTGCAGGGAAGGCCATACCGGTAGATAGCAAAGGAGCTTTCTTAGGAAGTTGTTTGGGCTTACAAAAACCAAATTTCAGACTCTTTAAAACATGCACTTAGAAGTCTTTTAGAGTGCACATAAGAAGATGAGAAAGACCTCAAGCTTTGGTTCTGCTGTCTGCTCACAGCCACAGAGTGAGGTGTACTAATGATAACTCTTCCCATTGGGGATGCCTAATTCAAGAAAGGATCTTGGGGATAGGGACATATTTTAAACCTCATGCCCCAAACTTAGCATTAAGACTTTCAGTTTACATAAATCACAGACAGCAGGGTCTTTCTCAGGCCGCCAATGGAGGCCAGTCCCCTGGGGAACCATTTCACCTCCTCTCTATGGTTTGTAGAGGCCCACAGCCCAGAGTGACCTCATAGGAGACAGTGAGGTATGCCACGGCTACGCAGAATCGTGGACTCACCATGCCCCAACTAGCTAGCCTGCTTCGATTTGTATTAAAAATCTCAACTCCCAGATCGGCACTCCATGAAGTGGGGTCTGTTGGAAGGTCCCCCACCCCATGTCACAGGAGGCTCTGTGAAGACGACAGTGGCTCAGCTGTCTCCCTCTCCTTCCCATCGCCATGTCTCCATTGTTCTAACTTAGATATGAAAGGTTCTCAGATCTGATGAGGTAACAGGACGCTAAGACACACACCTCATCACTGCATTAGTTGGACTGCTTGGGGGTGGGACCTCCTTACAGGGAGAGTGTTGCTGAGGAGTGAGTCTTTGAAGGCTAAACTGTGCCTCAGGCTCTGGCATTCCCTGCTTCTTAACCCTCAGGAGGTGAAGGGCTTTTGCTCAGCCACACTTTCTCAGGCTAGCAGCTTTGCCTCTGTCCACAAGGCTGCATAAAAACAGACTGAAACCTCCAAGACCATGATCCAAAATAAGCCCTTTCTCCTCTAATTTGTGTTCTGGGAGTCTCATCACAATGGAAAGACTGTGGGTAAAGCAGCTGTGTTCTGTCACTACCACTGCATCGCCACAAAGCATCAGGATCACCAGATTTTAGACTGAAACCTTTAACACTTTGAGCCAAAGCCATCCCATTTCTTCTTATAAAGTGGTTCTTTAGGCATCTGTTAGTGACGGGGAGCTGACTGGCACCCTAGTCCGAGTACAGAAGACGCTCTGTAACTGTGGCAGTGGGCACCAGCAAGTCCAACACTCACGAACCCCTCAGTGAACAAGGTACAGCATGGACAAGAGCCCCGCCAAGTGCAGAATAAACAGATCCAGCCCGGCCTTCCTCACATTCACCACAGGCTGCTCTCAAGTTGCAGGGTTGGGGAGGGGGCTCCCACAGTCCAAGACTAATCCCTGCTTACCGCGCTCGTGCCTTGCCACCTGTCTGTTCTCAGCATCCTGACAACCTTGCCTCCTTTCCTAACTCAGCATCCGCAGATTTCTCCTGACTCTCACACCCTCTTCATAAAAACACAGCTTTGAGAAGTCTCCTAGGGACTGCTAAAAATTCCCTTATTATGGTATAATACCACACGCAGGGAACTTTCAAGTAAAAACATTTCATTTAAAATAATCATAAATGTGAAGATTTATATTAAAATTTCCTATTTCATAAATAATTGTTACTATTTTACTATATTAAATATCATTTAATATATTAATTATTTAAGAAAATGGCATGATTGGCCAATAACATAAATACATTTTAGCATAAAAATATACCCTAAACTGTCAAAATTGAAACTAAAATGATATTATAAAATCAAACAAATTAAACTAGATGCATTTTCCCCTGGAATTCCTGTTTTCAGAATGTATAATCTGATATGTTTATAGGACTCCTCTTTTGTCTGAAAAGGATGGAGGACAGATCATAATTTCAGGTTTAGATTCTAAGTACTTCTTGGAAAATTATGAATAGTCTTAATTCTAAAAAATCAAATGCTGTCGTATATAAAATCCAATATTATATTTTCTATTTTTAACAGTGGCTTTTGAAAAGAGTTTCCATTAGCAAAACAGAACATGGGGATTTCATCCAGATGATTCCCTGGGCGACAGAATTACCAAGTTTAAACTCATTATTAGCATGCGAGTTTCAGTCGGAAGCTGCAGTGGCCTTATGCACACTGCTCACACAAACTGCTCGCTTATCCAGAAGGAACTCGGCACAGTATGGTCCTATCGCCAGCACAGCCAGGACTGCGGGGCTGGAGACAATGTGCGGCCAGATGAGAGAGCACAGCCTCCTTCAGAGCCCTACTGACTGCCTGGATCCTTCTGCACACCGAGGTACTTCCGTCCTGCCTGGTTTCCAGAAGGAACACATGTCTAGGTACTCTTTTTAAAACAAAGAAGAAATTATTTTAACATGGAGTTTCAAGACTATGTCCACTCCAAAGAAAAATCTAATTTTCTTTCTTGTTCACTGAAACTTTCTTGATCTTTACAATGATAATATTCAATGCAGTTACATCTACTCCAACTTAAGATAAAAACCCCTTTGCTCTAAAATGGACACACCTCCAGAACAGCCCCACTGTGAGCTGGCTGGTCTGGCTTTCTGTATTTCCTTGCTTCTCATCTGAGGAAAACGTGATAAATGGCTATTTCAGATTTTCAAATCACTCCAACTTTCAATCCACTTTAATCAACTGTCTGCACCTCTTCACCAAAACTGCTCTTGCTGACTTAACTGGTGATATGCACATCACCCAGGCCAACAGATGTGCTCTGTCTTGCTGTGTGGCTAGCATCTGCTCGACTGCATCCTCTTTCCCAAGGCAGTTTTATCATCAGAATGAATAGCAGTCCTTTCCATGTCTGGTTTAGGCTGCTTTGTGTTCACCTCTTTTGTTGGTTGTTAACCTTGTCTTTGAGAGTGTGGTTACTATTAAGGGTCAGTGGCTCTTCCTTCCTTCTTTCTACTTCATCCTGATGACACATTTATCCCTAAAAGTTTCAGATATTCTCCACCAGCCAAGAGAAATTTCAGCCTACCGCCTAGACTTAGCTCCCAAGTCCAGCTTCCCTAAAAACATGCAAGTTCCACGAGCGGGAGGCCATATCTACTTTGTTGTTTCGTTCTCAGCATGTGACGGACACCTCGTAGCACATGGCAGATAGTGGTAATCGATACATATCTGTTAAAGAGACCAATCATTCATCCACTCTCTGACCTCCAGTTGGCACGCTTCCCTCTCCAGGCCTTAGTTTTCCATCTGGAAATAAAGATGACAACGGCAGCTCCTTTCCAGGTTTGCCTCAAGGCACGTCACAGTGAACATACGTGTATTTTATGAGTTAAAAAGCAATATGCCCGTGTAAAACACACATACACATGTAGCTTGTAAAGGCTAAAATATCTACTCTTTGGACCTTTATAAAAAAACAAAACAAAAGTTTATTGACCTCTAACAAACTAGGTTTAAGTATATATCATACGCGTTGATGAATGAACGGCTATTCCTGCAGGTCTACCTGTCCTGTAACATGCTGTCAGGGGAAGGCAGCCCTCCTTGGGGCTTTCCCCCTCTCCTAAAAGCAAATCATCAAGGTACCCACACATAGCACCACTGCCTCCCCCACTGCTGTTTGCCTTAAGTTTAAGAAAGGCTACATTTCTACTTCCCCCTAATTTTAGCAATGGAAACAGAGAAGGCACAGGTCTTTGGAGGATGCAGTAGAGACAGAAGCTTGGAAGCCATGAAGCCTTCTCTACAAGAAAGCTGGTAGCTGTTCAGTACACTAGGTCCACAGAAATCTATTCATGGTTGCTACAAAACATGTATTTTATTCTTGGGGGAACTCTAGGATCAGAGGTTAGAAATGCATATCCATAAGAGGGTCTATATCTATTACCAAAAATAAAACACCAACCAAACACTACACAAAAGGGAAAAGGAATTTGGAAACAATCCTTCAAGATCTGAGTTTCAATCCTACCATGTGTTTCATATGTGACTCTGAGCAAATCCACTGCTCCCTGAGTTTCTGTCTCTAGAAAAGGCAGTGGTCACCACGGCTGATACCTTGTAGGTGGTTACCGTGAGCCAGAGGCTTACTCCATCTTGTGTTAAAAGCATCATCAGCAACAGCATGTGGGTAAAGACACAGAGGCTCAGACACGCTGACTGCCTGCTTAGAGAGGCGTTACGTAAAAGCCCCGGGTGTGATGATGCAGCTCTGCTTCATGCTCTGTCTTTCATGCGATACATTAGAGCCCACTAGCCAGCAGGGAAGGCCTGAAATCCTGCTATGCTATGACACTACCAGTGTATGCTTTAAAGAGGGGTGGTTCCCCCACTGTTCCACAGGAAATCCATGCCATTATCTTTAGAAAATGGTGGAAGAGAATGTGTGCCACTCTCTGCACATAATGAGAACACCCCAAAATCTCAGAAGCAAAACTACAGGAGCGTATTACATTCTGGTCACATACCTAGTGAGTTAGCAATCCTACTGTCTGTGGCCCTGACACACTCAGTGTGTGTGCACCAACATTACCTTTCCTTCATCGTCTCATGCACCTTCCCGTGCTGGACGCACTGCTCCTCCAGTTCATCATTTCTCTTCTGTAACTTCTCCAGTTTGTCACACATGTATCTTTTTTCTTGGCTGAGTCGAACTATTTCCAATCTAAAGAGGTTAGAAACACAGAAACAGTAGATGGTAAAGATCTACCTTACTAGAATGTATTTTTATTGTATAAACCTTTGCACTGTCTTAAACTCTGCACTTGAGGCATAATAGTGGAGGAAAAACTATTTTATATCAAAGAAACTATTTCAGAAAATTTAAGATGCCTAGTAGAAGAATATGTACTTCATAGGGTCTCTAGTTACAACACTGCAGAGATCTGAGAGAGCTCTGGCTATAAATGGGGGAAGTGGCGTTATCGTAGACATTTATGTTCTGAAAAGTAACATCTTCATTCCCTTTCCGCCCCGCTCCTAGACTGCACAGTCAGGACTGTAACAGAGTGGAGGACAACCTGCACTGAGAACAAAATCCACAGATGTCTCCATGGTGACAGCTGATGTCTTTCAGGACATAAATCGTATTGACAGTGTCTTAGATAACAATTCTAGCTCTTTTTCTTTTTGTTTGTTTGTTTTTTGAGACAGGGTTTCTCTGTAGCTTTGGAGTCTTTCCTGAAACTTGCTATATAAACCAGGCTAGCCTCGAACTCACAGAGATTCTCCTGCCTCTGCCTCTAGAGTACTGGGATTAAAGGCATATGCCACCACTGCCTGACTACAATCCCAACTCTTAATTCTTTGCAATCAGAAAGATATCTAAGGAAAGTTGTGTCCTTTTAAAACCTGAATGGCCAGCCCTGAAACCATTTCCTCATGCCTGCGTCTCATCAGTTAGAAGTCACAGTTTACATTTCTCTACATTATAAGTAATTTTTAAGTTAACCAAAAACACTTTTGAAACAAAATTAGTTTCCTCCCCAGAAAGGACTGTTTTACTACGCAAGGCCACCTTTTGTTCTAGTCAGAAAGACTTTGGATTTGCTAGGGGAACACTCTTACTCCACAAACTGCACATCCCAAGCACAGGAAGCTGTCAGGGTGGAGCAATGTTAGTTCACCCAGGCCTCCTTTCCTTTGCTCAAGGGCATAACTACCACAGCCTGCTTAGGCCTGTACCCTCCCCTACCACAGCCAGCTCAGACCCAGACCCTCCCCTACCACAGCCAGCTCAGACCCAGACCCTCCCCTTCCACAGCTCAGCAGGGTCTTCAAACCACCTCTGCTTACCTAGACAATTCCTTAGAGCTCACCGTTCTGAACTATGCTCTACCCCCACCTTTCTCACCAGTATTCGGGTAGGACAGAGAACGGCTCATCTCCTTAAGTTCAGCTCAGGTACTCTCCCTGCACTTGCCTTTCCTGCTAAGAATGCACCGACATTTGAAATAGTCTACATCCCTGAATAAATGGCTCTTGCCTATCCATTCCAAACTGCACACAATACAAAAAGTAATCTAGAAGCTATAATAATATTAGAACTTAGTACTTCTTCCCAAACTAGCATCTCCTGTCACATACTGAAATAAATTCCAAAAGGAAAAAAGTCCTTAAACCAGATTAGAAAAATAGTAAAATCCATGGAAAAGAACCCGCACCTGTCCAAGAAGAGAGGCGCCATTTTCAATGAGTACAAAGAAAAATAGACAATATCAAAATATAAAACATTCACATATAAAAAAACCATATAATTGGAGAGCTATGTATTTATGTTTATATTCACTGCAGCACTACTTATGAGAGAATTTTGGTCTAGGACCCAATACATGGAAACTTTATTGAGAACTCTATCAATAGAACATTGGATATCTTGCTTGTATGATAGAAGTTATTTATTGACCTAAAATGTAATATTTTGATAAGAAAGGGCAAACATTAAAAATGAGCATGCATAATGTAATTCCATTTTACAATTAAGTTATTGAGGCATGCACCAAATATTAATACTGATAATTTCTGGATAGTAGAATGTTTTCCCTTTTATTTTCCATATTTTTCTTACTATGGAGCGGTATTTTAAAAGTCATTTTGAAAACAATGTTTAACAGCAAAGTGAAACATGAATAAAAACAAAGGAGCGGTTTGGAGAAGGTCAGGGCTAATAGGGTAGGGACAGTAGTGGTGGTGTTTCTGGTCAAAGTTAGGACAGACGGGGTGGGAGGGGGAGGAGAAGGCTACCAAGGGCCCTGTACTTACTCCTTGATTTTATTGCTGAATCTAAACTGGTATTTAAAAGTTTATTAATTAAAAAAAACACATAAAACACTAGAAAAACATTCATGAAAACCAGACAGATGAGGGTTAAAAGCATCATTAAAATGCTGCAGCAACAAGGTTACAATTCTGAACAAACAGAAGAAATACGGAAAATTTCTCTAGAAGGCAGAGCATGAAGTTCATAGTTATGAAATGGTCAATTTTACTATTACTTGAAGAAATGCAGAATAAGATTTGATATTACTGTTAAACATTCATCTCATACTTACTCTGTATAAAAACCCATCTTTAGATTATCTCAAATCCCCAAGGTAGTAAAGGTTTATTCCTTTCCCTGTGAGGAAATGTGCAGTCTAAGGAGTTGTCTAAGGCTAGCAATGGGGAGTGGTCAGTCCTGCATGTGGGTCTCTTGTCCTGTGTGTCCAGCTCTGCTACCCACAATGCAATGCTCATGTTGATCTTCTTTTCTTTGCCTCTTTCACTTTTTGCTGTAACATATTTATAGAGGGACGTATGTACAGAGGAGAACTTATTTCAGCACGCAAGCAAAATAATGCATATTAGCAGCCTTGAAAAGTGTGCCTGGCTTTTGAAGTGTTAATGCCCTTTTAAAAGAATCATCGAAATTTAATTGTGTACAAATTTAGTTATTTTATTACTACAATAGTTCAAAGTTGGAGATGTGTTTGTGGAGAGTACAAACACATGATTTGATTACGACTTGTTTCTGGCGTTTCCGCTTTTATTAATGAGACAGGTAGACACCATGAACCTATCATGATAAAGCTGCTGTAATGACACATTTACACACACACATGAAAAATGACTGACAGGAAGCTTGTCAAAAATAGCAGTGATTTTTCTGAGATAGCAATGCCACAGGAAAATGTTTCCCTAATTTTTCTTTATGATTCCCTACAGTGAGATGTCTTCAGTAACACAAAAACATGGATGCTATTCTATTTTCAAGTACAGACTGCTGTAATACGTGCTATTGTAACAACAATCTTTCCTGCCTTGTATACTTTCCCCCCTTTATTTATAATGGCAAAGTGCCCGTCAGCTTCTGTCATACAATACAGTTTCGGTATATGTATACATATATCATTCTTTATTTGGATAGAGCTGACAATATAGTCATACAACTGGAGGCTTGCACAGTGAAAAGGGAAAACAGAAAGCCACATCTACCCTACTGCCATATTAAAGGGAAAGAGACTCTAATTCATTTTCATAGAAATGTAGGTAATTTCTGGCTTTCAGAAGCATGAACTTTTTCTGCATTTTATGAAGCAGCTATAGAGTATAATTGCTTTGCATGAATGCAAGACATTTTACTAGTATAATTCAAATTATAATGATAATTACTTTTAAAGGAAAAAATATGACACCTTAATTTTTTTTATTTTTTTGGATTCTGGTTTGACTTTTGCTAACAATTAACAGAAGGCCAGTGTCAGGCTCCTTTTGTCGAATGCAATCTTTGTAGCAGCCCAACCTAACAACATCTGAACATGCAAGGGAGAAAAAAATAGTTCAACCGGGTGTGTGTTCTTTACTTCAATTAAACTCGCACAGTTGGAGACCTACTGCTGCCAAAACAGTAATATAATTTATACATTATAGTCCACATAGTAAAACTACACTAAAAGTCATTTAACAATATTTATAACACCATAAAATACAGTGTTAAAATATATGAACTGCAATATGTACCAAAATTATAAAATTTGTTTCTCATCATCAGTGATTAAAACCAGGATCATTACTCTAGCCTCAATACTCACAACCCTGGTGACAGATTAGAATTCAAATCTTAATGATCAATTTACAATTAACAAGATAGAAGTGAAACAAATTAAACCAACCATTATATATAACGAGACCCCGTGGACTCCCATTGTTCCTCTTAATTACAAAACGCAAATCACAAATACACAATGGGCAGTGCTAGACATCAATCCACAGGCCTAGCGACCCCGCGAGTGACAATGACAAGAAAATGAGAAGAAAGTCACACAGACCCAGCTCTGTGCTCACTCCTGTCCTCCCGGCGTGCAAGGAGGGAGAGGGTGAGACCTCGAGCAAAGTGAGCTTGGTCTCCAACACGTAAGGGCTCTGCCAGCGTGGGCACAGGCTCCTCAGCAGCCAGTGCCCAGCATTTCCTTCGTCTTCCCAGACCAGGTTTTCGATCATAATGTAAACCGTGCCTCAAACATTTTAATGTGGATTTTTCCAAATGTCTAGGGAGAGAGAATACTTACTTCTCTTTGATAAAGAAAATAAATTGCAGGAAGATATTTAAGTATATCTATTTACCTCCCTCAACAACCTCATAACTATGTAAGTTCTCAATACACTAGGGGAGGGAAGGGATAGTTAAAGTTTATACTTCAACTAAAACCAGTTTGCCTGGTGCCAATTAAAAACAAAATGGAATTAATTCTCTTGCCTCGTGGTCAAAAGCAAGCTACAAAAGATGTAAAGTATGAACCAGGATTTGAGTCTTCATTTTAAATGGGACATGTCATTCATATCCCCTGCGGTTCAGGCACAGTGTAGGGTACACGCACAGCTCTGGCTGCAGAGGCTTCCGAAACAGACGCAGTCGTCATTGTAATAATGCCATGTATAGTTTACTGGGCAGGGGGGACGTGCATCACACACACACATGCACACACACTTTCCACAATTTCGGCACATTTTCCGAGGGCAGCCATGCAGCAGGCTGGGTAGAGAGGCAGGATACATGGGCACAAAGAGCCCGGACTGTCGGCTTCTCAATCACTGCTCATGGGCTCTAGTCAAACGCCTAGATCTGTAAGCGAAAAAATGTGTTTTCAATGCTGACTCCACTTGTTTAATGTGGCATTCTGAATAACACAAAATGCTTACAGAAATTTTAGCAAGGAAAGGGGGAAATATTTTCATTAAAATTTTTACTATAGTATACTTTGAGAAAAACTGGAACCAAAATTCCTACATGGATTAAACAATTATTCTGGAGACCGAGTTTCCACAATGAGAGAACTTTAGAAGCTAAGACGACTCAAAGGCCAGCAGAACTAATTTATCCCCAAGTCGGCTCATAGCGCATGAAAGCATGCCCTGAAGTGATAGGTCTTACTGCATTTTTATTCTCATTTTAAAAGAAACATTTTGAGTCTTTGGGGCTTTATAGCAGAAGGTAACATCAAAGTGTAATGTCAAACAAATGGGCATAAAAGAGGGGGTGAAATGTCTTAATTCCTTAGATATTGGGGGAGATATGAGGTGGGCCTGATGAGAAAACAAAGGGCTTCAGACACACAGCCTTCAAAACAACTTATTTCATCTACTCTTGGTGCGGCACATAAATGGTTTCCAAATAGAACAATTTATTGATGTTCACTCCACGCAAGACCTTAGCTTTGAATGAACTCGGGAGGATCCATGGCTTAGAACCTGGCATCAGAACCTCACCTACAAGTCATGAGCTCCAGCCTTGCCGAGTTGGTTCTGTTTGGCCCTACAGATAATTTTCACTGCAAACAGACTTTGCCCATTAGAAAATGTTTCGAAGGTCATGCCCAGTTACAGAGGCTGTGCAGCCCCCGTACCTTACTACGGGGTGAACAAGCACTGTACCGCCTACAGCTGCCTTCCCCAGCTGCGGGTTCTTCAGCAGCTCGGCCAACCGCAGACGGAAATGCTGGGTCTGTACTGAACACGGGCATTGTCCTGTGGTTATTTTGTACCCAGTACAGTTTAACAGCTAATCACATAGTATTTGCATCATATTAGGCACTATAGGTAATCTAGAGATAATTTCAAATATATGGGAGAGGGGTCAGGGTGTTGGTCAGTGTTGGACTACTAGCCTGGCATGTGTTAGGCCCTGGGTTCCATTTTTAATACCACAAAAATATAAAATAGCATAAAAAATAAAATCTGAGGGAGTATATAGGCAGGTTCCATGTACCTTCTATGTTGTTTATGTTAAGAAGGTGAGCATCTGTCATCTGTGAATTTTGGTATGGTATCAGTCCTGCAGTCAACACCCTGAGTTTGTTGAGGGGTAACAGTACACAGCATGGGTGCTGACCATTCCTGTCACTATATAAATGAAATCCCACAACCATCCTGTAGCATGACTTCAGAAGTACTTACACAGCTAACAGAGCTGAGGTGTAGGGAGATGGGGCAACACCGTCAAGACTACATGCACAGCAAAGGAACCGACAAACTCAGATTCAAATCCAGGTCTTCCTGAATCCCAGAGAGTTCCTTCCTGCACACTGCCTGTCACCCACAAAGGAACAGGCTGGCACCAGAAATCAGGCCAGCATGTGGAAGGCAGCACCACACCTGCTTTTTCTATTCATTTATCATTCATTCAATAACTATGCATTGGTGCCATCTATGTGTCAGATATGAAGGAACACGATCACCGTACAGAGCAGCAGTTGGGCCGAGAGATGCTGAGGTTCAACTTCACGAATCTTGTGCCAGTTATGACTGATTAATTTAAAGAAGGAAAATAAGAGCCCAGGGACTCGGTGCACATTAGCCCTGGCTCATAGTTTAGCTACTGTACCCCATGAATGTCTACTTTTCTGAGGGATTTAAAGGTTCACTTTTCCTTCCTAGCCTTTTCAGCAATTACTGCTGTGACTGAGCATCCTCTCCTCTCCTTGCTTCTCTTTAGGAGACAGACTCTTGCTATGATGCCTAGGCTGGCCTAGAACTCCTGGGCTCAAGAAACCTTTCTGCCTTAGCCTGCGAGTAGTTGAGACTGCAGGTGCAAGCCACTGTAGCCAACAAGCCGGAACCTCCATTAATAGAATGTATGTAAGAACAACTCTAGACATCGGTGACAGCAACACCTAGGCCCAAACTCCTACCCACAAGCCACTCAAACAACTATGTTTCTAATCTGTAAGAAGCTAATTACTGTCTTATGCGCGGCGGTTAACTATGTATCATTCCGAGCACCTTTGCCTCCTCAATGTCCGGAACAATTAGCATTAAAGACAGTTTTTGTGTGCTTCCAAAGGACTGTAGAAATTGATTAAAATGGATTACCTATATCAACATAAGATTGTAAGACTGCTTGGCATATTTGTATTCTTTGTTATGGTAATGGTTATTTTGGCCTTTGTTCCTGAACTTTCATGATTTTAAATTTTAAACATTATAAAAGCTAAGTAAGCAAAGTGGGTGGAGCAGGTGAAGAGGGCTGGTTACTGTGCACAGGGAGCGTTGTCTAGATGAACAGTCACGAAAATATGCATATGGAAAGTTGTTTTCACAGAAAACTGAAATCAACAGATGACTAATTTTAATGGCAGATTACAGTATATAAAAATGCAATTTTAAGGCTACATTTTACTTATCAAATAAATGGAATTCTGAGACTATTCTATAATGTTGCCCGCTCACCTACCTGCTCTTCTGCGAGATTTTCTCCAGCTTCCTGGCTAGCGTGCAGCACTCCTCTTTTAACTTTGTCAGAAATGCATTCTGGGAGGTCAGCAACGAATACTGCTCATTTTCTAGAAACAACAATAACCCCACCAATATAAGATGCTTGTGCCTTTGCTCTGTAGTCGTCCAGTGCCCCGTGCTAAGGGCTCATATCCCTGCACCCTGCCCAGAGCCACCAGATCACTGCCAGGGTCCTACGTGAACGGACTTAGCAGGTGGGACACGGTGCCGTGAGAGACATTTATTTTCATAATATATTTGTATACCCGGAATAATTTTGATCACATCAGCTTGTGCAACATTTTAGCATGCTCATAAACTGTCAAATATCTCAAATGAAGTCATAAATGCTTATATCTTTGAAGTATGCAAGATATTATATTTTTATTTTGACAATTTTACTATAAACAGTGTCAAAAATTCTCACAACCAGATAATTCGAAACTGAAGCCGAGGAAATCTGTAACACTAGAGTTGGTGCTCGATGGTTCTTATATTGTACCCCCTTGGAGCCTACATTTCTCTAGTTTATGAGGTGAAATTACACAAATATCCTTAAAAACTTGATCATACTTTAATAGTATGTGTTTCAACAGAGCTCTGGCTCGGGACTGAAGAGAATGTGATTTGTGTGTATTTGAAAATAAAAGATTTTAAAGATGATTTTAACAATTAAAACCTTACCCAACTCTCAGATTCTGCCCAAGACTCTTGGACCAGGACGATTCTGCTAGCAGTGGGCCAAATGACAATTTCCCCTATGAATTCCTCTTTGTGTTTTAGTTTAAAAAAAAAAAAACACAAACTCTGGAGGATTTTCATTTCTTCTGGCTAAAAGCTGAGAAGAAACTCTCTATATGAGGCATCATGATAGCTGCCTTTATAAGAAAAATAAATCATTTAAGAAGTAAACAAATTATCAGTGAACAGAGTATCCATTTGTTACCAATAGGTGGAATCATTTTTTTTTTACCATACCATTAAATGTAATATGTATCAAATCCTGTGAAATTCTTCTGTGAGTAATTTTTTCCTTTTCGGCTAATAGTTGGTTAAAAAAAAAAAGCATATAGCATACAAAGCACAATAAATCAAGGCACTAAAATTAAGCAACATTTTTTTCTGGAAGAGACAGGATCAATTAAACTTTTGTTTTAATGGTACAATCAGCGTGGAGTATGTGGTGTGGAATTATAATGACTGACACTGTCTTGTTTTGACTAACACTGTCTGTGAACACACAACTCAAAAGCGAAAGGAACCACATAACGCTCTGACTGCACACATCAAACTGCCTATTTTCAAAGTGCATTTTACTTTCAAATTAAAGGTAAAGAGTTACTGGCCAACTCAGACTGCAGCACAGTGCCAGCGTGATGAAAGATGGCGGTTTTCAGCCAAGCTGCCAGCTGTGGTCAGTGCCTTGTATTAGTGGATTTTAACAGCAGTTGTGAGAAGCTGAAGAATGCGGAGGATTAAGCATCACTCTCGGCTGCATTGGGGGAGGTGGGGAAATCATACAAATGCTAAAAATGTTCGAAGCTGCAAAGATTAAATAAAGGAACATATCAATTTGGAGCCACTGAATTACATCCAGCTGCGACAGTGAATTAAGAACCGATTAATGGCTAAAGCTTTTCTCCAGTTTGGATGCTGCAGCAAACTCATTAGGCTTTTAGAGTAGCTATAATGTGTGTACTGTGGGAACTGCTCAGTGCTATTCAGGAGACTCTAACTGTAAGCTCAGAGCATTTCCCGCAGAGCTTCTGATGCTATTTTCTTTATATAACATGTGTGCCTGAAAACCCAGCCAAAAACAAGCCCTTTGTTTTTCTACTTTGTTGTGGTCGCTCTCAGCTTTACGTTTCTTGAACACAGGTAAATAAACTCATAATCCAGATGGTGCAACAGATGTGAGAGCAGCACTCTGAAATCAACAGACAGTGGGCAATACTCTCCATTTTCTCTTTTAAACGCTAACTAATATGTAATTCGGAATCTCCGGTGTAGTTAGCATCTGCTCCCTTCGGCCAGCCAAAGGTTACAGGTGTTCCTGATGTCATTTCACAGTAAGGCGTGGGCCTGGCTTGTGAGCAAGTGCCCAGGCTCTAATCTCTCCCTACCACCCACCAGTTTTGTCGTGCTGGGCCTCCATTTGCTGTATCTTCTGTGTCAGCTCCTGCTCTCTCTGCTGGGCCTGAAGGGCTTGGGCCTTTGCTTCGTTGCTAAAGCTTTGCTGAATGCTATCTTTTTCCAGTCTGCAAAACAGAGAGACAGACAGAGACATAATCTGCAGGTGCACAGACCTCCATGATTGCCGCACAGACCACAGACAGCAGGCAGGTAGCAGACTAAAGCAGCAGAGGCTAATCTTGCTCCAGTGTCCCCGCTCTGCTGAAGAGACCATCCACAAAACTACACAGTGTACCACATGGGCCAGAAATCCAGACGGATTTAAAAATTAAAACAAAATCATAACAACTAAACACTTGTATTTTGCAGCCTGGTTGTGTGTGTGTGTGTGTGTGTGTGTGTGTGTATGTGTATGCACACGTGCATGCCACTGTATAGGTGTGAAGGTTAGGGGACACCTTGTGGGAGTTGGTTTGCTGGTTTTCTCCTTTAGGCATGTGGGCCCTGGGGCCTGGACTCAGGCTTTAAGACGTTCTTCTCATAAGCACTTACACCCCCTGGGCCATCCCGCCAGCCTTGTGTTTTGCACCTTCACAGTGCGCACACACACTTGCCTTGTTCTATCTTTTTTGTCTTGTACTATTGTTAATCGTTCATCTTCTGAATGCTCACTAGTTCCTAAGACTGTGAAGTTCTAGGAAGAACGTGATATAGTTCTTAGTTTATGCAAAGTTTATTTTATAACTAGGCTTTGTAGACTACTTCTGGTTTTCTTCCAAGATGTAAGAAATAACTTCAGATATACTGGAGGGGACTGGGGAGGAGGGGCCGGAACCACGTGTCTGCTTCATTAAGCACATTCGTACAGCAGGCTGCACTCTGTGAAAGGGACAGGAATGTGAGCACGGACTACTTCCCTCCTCACTCCATGATAAGACGTCCCTTTGGGTCATGCTGACGGGATTGGAGGACAAAGACAACAACCTATCAGTGGCTCTCTTTAAAAGAGAGTTTCCACTTCTTGTGTTTTGTTGAGATTGGTCTCAAATAGGCAGGGTGAGCCTCCAACTTGCTTTGCAGCTGAGGAATACTTTGGATTGGATGCTCCTCTTTCTACCACGTGAGAACTGGATTACACACACGCACCATTGTACCCAGTTTTGTGAGGTCTGGGCACGGACCCCAGGGTCTGGTGCGTGTCAGGACTCTACCTACTTAGCTATGTGCCCATCCAGAGAGGAGTCTCCTAAACAAGTCAAGCCCGAGCAAGGGCAAGGCCCTTGTTGCCCCAACGCTGTATGCATGTTGCAAATCATGTTGGAAACCCTTGCTGGGTGGGTTCTTCAGCTCTATGAGACACAACGTGAGGGTTTCCTTCAATTAAGTGACTCAGTTATTCCAAACTCCTCATCTCCTTGTGGGCATTTCTCATCCATGCTGCTTTAGTTTACTAATTGAGATATTTACTGCCTAGCCTTTGCCAAACTAAAAATAAACAATTCCATAAAGCTATCGCTACCAGTCTATGTACCGCTGTGGAACTTCAATTCACTGGCTTCTAATTATACGGCAACATAAGGAAAGCCTGTACTGAGATTGGTCAATGCATGTGGTAATGTTGTAGTGTAAAGCCCCAGAATGAAAATACACCCACACCTCACTCAAATGGAATCATCAGGGGTCCATGCTAAATGTGAAATAAGGTCCCTTCTGGTACTTCTAACAACAACACCCCCCTGGATGCGGTCCAAGGTCTTGTCTCACACTCAGTTCCAAACTAGTATATCGCAACAAATGGATCGTCAGACGAGGCTACTTCTGCCTCCCCCTTCACACCACGTATTTTCTGGCTAAGGATCATTGCACATGTTCTTCCTCTTCTTGGAATGCCCTGGGCCACCCACCCAACCCCCTACACGATGCACACTAGCCCTCTTGGGCAAACCTCAAAATCCTGCCTTTCTTTCTCCGGTCTCTCCGAAATCAACTATTCAGCCCTGGATGCCCTTAGTATGTGCTGTGTCCATCTTCTATGCATTTGCTACCACTTTACATGTCTTCTCCTTTGTAATCTTTAACTTTCTTTACCCTGACCCAGCTCTGTGCTCTGCCCATGGAAAACAGGCAGTGCATATTAAATGACTGTTCTTTCTTACGCCCTGCCTAGTTGTGGGGCTGGGGGTGGGGGTGATGGAGGGGAGAGGAAGGCAAAAGAGGGATAAGTCTTTAGGTGAAACCGGAGTCCTCTGTAACTAGGCAAGACTTTCTCAGACTTGTTAGAACACAGTGCCCAGCTGGATCAACCTCAACAGCATTGCATGATATAAAGCCTGCGGCTGAGGTAGGAAGCTTCTTCATTCTTTCAGTGAGCAGCCATGTCCGAATCTGAGCACTCGATAGAGTCTAAGACAGAGGCTTGAGTGTGCAAATGAGATCACTACAAGACTCTCTGATCCACGTGTATCTGAGAGAGGAAAGGGAACATTATTCATAAAGCCAGAAGCAGAACAGAGACTGCGCAAAGCAAGCACGGATTTATGGTTCCCAGCTGATAAATGACGGCACTCAGAAGTGAGAACTGCCTAGTAAGTGACATTCTGAACGGACCAGAGAAGGGACATGGCTGAGTTCTCCTCATAAAGCTGCGCAAAAGACCTCTCGCCACAACTGCCGATCTCCTCGAGAGGATATGCATGCTATTTTCCACGGGAATGTGCATGGCACGTTGTTGTTGTCCTGCCTCCTTCCCGCTCTGTCAGCCCTCTTCTGTGTTCCTCTCCCCTATGAGTCTGTTCTGATTAGGTCAGCTTCTCATGAACTCTTAGAACATCAGATATGAAAGGAAATCATATTCTCTTTCATGTAACATTTTCATTTTAGAGTTAAACAACAGCAAAATACAATCCATTTTAAAAACCTGGGGGGGCCATAAACAATTTGAAATCCACTTATAAGTTATACAGTGAATAGGAATAAAACTATCTTTGCTCAAGGAAACCTATTTTATAACACTGTAGAAGTAATGTAATAGTGGACATGAACAATTAGTAAAAATCACTCAGGTATCTAAGGAAAAGACTGAAGAAATCAAAGGACGAACCAAATTTTTATCATATTTGTGGAAGATGTTATACTAGACATTGTATCTAGTGAAACTAAACAAGGTTTAGTGGGCCTTGACTCCAGAAGGGATTTCAAACTGGACAAAGATAAACAACAGGTTGATGGTATAACACTCCATGAGCATAAGGTATAAAGAGGAAGGCTACCAAGGTGTAGAAAGCTGAGAGACCAACTGGCCTAGTAGCTTTGTCACCTCCTAAAGACAGCTCAACCAGCAGCCCCCCCCCCCGCCCGTCCCCGCACCATAGGTTTTCTCACTATGGTTCTCTCAGTTACTGATGGCCGCATTAAACAAAGCAGCTACTTAACCCTATTATGCAAATAAGAACACAAATAATAATGTTAAAAAAAATTGTACTCAAGGTGGCTAAAAACTGGAAACAGCCTAAATGCCCGTTACCTGCTGTATGAATCAACTGTGTGGGATAGCCTAGCCAGAGAAAACCCAGCAAGAATGGGAGGAGCTATGGTACACACAACACTGGATGGATCCTAAAGCAGTATGCTTAGAAGAACAGGGCACGAAAGCCATATTTATAATCTTGTGTACTTAGTACTCTAGACTAGTAACCCTAGGCAACAGGGTTGACAGGGGAAGGGTGTGAGTGAAGTTTTGGGATGACAGAAAAGGGTCTGGGTCACGGATGTGACAGCTCGAACACGGCATCACTCCCTACAACACATTAGCTACCTACAGTTAGTGACTTTCGCCATGTGTGTCAGCTCGTGGCTATGGCTCCAGCACAGGAATGGTTGAGCCCAGCTTGGACTATATTATGAGTCTCTGTCTCAAAAGAATTGAACTTTTATTGTATTGAAATTCAGCTCAATAAATGTAACTTGAAAAAAAGAGCGAATACGGTAAGAAAAGGAACCTATTTACCTTCGTTCTTCAAGTTACCGACAACAACTGGGATCTACACGCTAGCCGTGCCCATGCTTTCTTCTTCGTTTGTGTGTGTGTGTGTGTGTGTGTGTGTGTTAGAGTTGCAGTACTTAGTCCCAGTTGGCCTAAAACTCTCTATGTAGACTAGGCTGGCCTCGAACTCAGAGAAATCCACCCGCCTTGCCTCCCAAGTGCTAGGATTAAAGGTGTGCGCTACTACTTCAGGAATTTTTTGTTTTTATTATAAGAGAATAAAAAGGAGTGAGCAGGTACTAGGAAGGCTTTAAAATAAGTCAGGTCACCCAGTGTGCTGTCACACATCTTTAGTTCCGGCACTCAGGAGGCAGAGAGAGGTTCATTTCTGTGAGTTCAGGGCCAGCCTGGTCTACATAGCCAAAGCTAGATAGAAAGAGCCTATCTCAAAACAAAAGAAAACAAAACAAAAACAACAAAAATATCTAAGTATACAATTATTAGATCCCCCTTTTCCAATTACAGTCCCGGCTGACTATATTTTCTAAAACAATCAAAATGATATTTATAAATCTGTTTTCCATACTACTCATTCTTTTCTTGCCATTTTACAGGTAACAGAAGTAAAGTGACCCCTTAGCTCTTCGTAAAATAATTGATATTCCTCAAGTTCATCAGTAAGCCTCAGAGAGAAGTATTGTACACCTCCAGTACACCTACGGACCTAGCGGTGTCAGCAATACCATCTGCAGGTGGTGACTAAGGTACCTCTCCCATCCCCCACATCGCATCACCTTTCCTCTGAGTGTGGAAATGCTGCTGTTACACACAACACCCTGGGGATACAAAGTGTTTACTTTTATATAGAGCACTTTGTGGTAGTCGGCCCTCTGGTTGAAGAAACTTCCAAGAAGCTGGGACTTAGTTTGGTGGTGGAGAACTTGCCTACCGTTTCCTGTCTCTAGCATCTACCACTACCATCATGAGAGAGCATCAACAACAAGGCGGCAGGATCTACATGCAGACAAGCCAAAAACTATCCTGGAAGGAATGCAGAAAGGAGCAGAAGGCAATAGTTTGTGCAGGTGGTATTTTGGACACATGATACCCATTTGTCTCAGATTGGTAACACTAGTCTTGATC